GCAATTAAGAACCGGCACTAAAATTAATATGAGACCAGGTGGTGGAGAAACACCTGAAGAGAAGCAAGGGCACTGATGAAATTATTATCAGAGAGAGGGCTACTCACCTATATAAATAAAAGCCTTATATGCAAATTGTCCCCTCGGGAGTTCGGCCAGGAGACTGGGAGTTCGATCACTTGCTAGGATGTGCGCTGACCACCAGGGTGCGGCACAGAATGAAGGAAGGCCCCAGCCGGCAGCCGGAAGGGGCCTCTAGTGTTATATAATAGTAAGATGTTTGGCAACACTGTCACCAGCAACAATACAGAATTAAGGAAATGTACTCATGAACTATGGACATGCTTAAGATTTCTAAATGTGAAAACTGACTTCGTTTAGCTGCCTAGGATTAATTACAGGAAGAGAAAGATGAACTGAAATGTTCAGCAGAATTTAGAGGAAATCGGGACTTGCTAGGTTGGAAACGAAAATTTATTGTCCTGCTTGCTTGTCTAGTCAGCAAAAGATTCTTAAAGGAAGAAGTCATTTTAGGGCAAAAATCACATCCAGGGGTCTACTAGCACCATGTGCTCTCAGGTGAAAGATCAAATCAAATATGTGGTTGGGGAAAATCTCTTCATGAAGACCTCAGAAAGATTTAAAATGTAGTGCCTCGTAGGCTCTGTCAGGGAGACAGAAGCGCCTCTAAAACCCCAAGGGCTCGTCCTTCAGCATTCTGACTTGCAGCCAAAGTCAAGAGGAGCCTGTGTTAAGAGTTTTGTGGGTATGTCTTTTTCTCAAGGAATGAAAAAATGTACAGGAAGCTCCCAATATTTATAAGAAAATTTTCCTATAATTTTAATTACCACCAGCTAAACAAAAGGGAGAACACAAAAGGTCTCTAGATTCCTAACTCTATGAACACGAAGCAGCCTTCTCAACTGCTGACAAGAGCTATCTCTCATGGACAAAGAAGAGGAAAGCCTTTAACTTTCCAGCCAGCCCAGCTGAGTTGCCAGATAGATGAGCTGAAGAAAACTTCTTGAATGTTTCTCCCCAGCAACCTAAGAAGAACCAACCAGCTGAAGGTAGCCCAGTTGCACAATAATGACAAATTATTGTGCGTTGTTTTTTTTAAGTTATCATTCTCAGGGATTTTTTTTTGTTTTATTTGTCAGGTGGGTTTGTGTTGGTTTTTATTATTTAATGAAGGCAGAGCAGAAACAGGTTAAACATTCTGGCTCTTGTGTTGTATTGAGAAGAAGGTTGGGTGGAGGGTGAAATGTAGCAACAGGGAGACCCACTCTTGCAATAATTCCATGAGATATGATATCAATGGCTGGAACGAGGTGGCACAGTGAAGGGGCTGACAAGGTCAGATGTGGGAAACAGTTGGAAGGCACAGGTAAATGGGTTAGTGGAAGATTAACGTGAGGTGTGAGAAAAAGAGACGTCAAGGGCAAATCCAAGATTCATTGATTAACTGTCTCTGCACCTAAAAATATGGAATTACCATCAACTGAGATCGGGAAGACAGTGGGAGGAGCAGTTTTGGGTTAAGTCAGGAATCTGCTGAGTACTAGATATCTAATCAGGGATGTTGAAAGACTGTTGGGTCTGGAGTTCAGAGAGAAGTCATGATTGGAGATATAAATATAGCAAGTATCGTGTATGAAGACATTAACAGCCAAGAGACTGAATAAGGTCACCAAGGGAGTGAGTATAGACAGAGAAAAGGCCTAACACTGGGCCCTTGAACTTCTCTATTTAAAAGGGTAGGGGGACAAAGAACCAGTAAAGGAGACAGATAGATGCTGGTGAGGTAAAAGGAAGTAAGAAGGTATTCCAAGCCAATCCAGAACTCTAGGGGTATGCACAGGTGGGAACCAAGCACTGACCACTGCATTTAGCATGGGGGTTCTTAGAACCTCTGACAAGTACATTTTTAGTGGAGCAGTGGGGACCACAACCTGGCTGGTTCAAGAGAGACTAAGAAGAGAGAAATTGGTGACAGAACTGAATTGACTTTGAAAATTTTCTACAAAATGGGGACAGAAAAACTAGGTGGTGGCTGGAGAGAAGCATGAAGGTTTTTTTGTTTTGTTTTGTTTTAATGGGAAAAAAATATATATCATGGCTATATAGTGATTGGAAAGATCCACCACAGAGAGAAAAGTAGTGATGGTGTAGAGAAAGGATGAATTATTAGAGCTATGCCCTTGAGCAGGTGATAGGAAGGAGACTACACACCTGGAAGACTGCCATGAATTTATGGCTAGTTCCCTTACCTCTAATGTGTTTTTTCCTCAATAAATGTTACCCCAGACCAAACTTCCTAAAATACTGCTCTTATTATAATACTAGGGGCCCAGTGCGGGAAGATTCATGCACTGGGGGTGGGTGCCTCAGCCCGACCTGCACCCTCTCCAATCTGGGAGCCCTCAGGGGAGCCCTCTCCAATCCGAGAGTTTCTGTCTGTCTTTGCAATCATATAAGCGAATTGTCTGAGACCCCCAACCCAGTTTGGTTTGTTGCTCACAGAATAATAGAGGCTTTTTTTTTTTTCTTTGCTTCATTGGTGAAGATTTCCTGGAAGTTTTAGGATCTCTTCCCTTTAATTTTTCCTAGACACTCTGATTTTAATTATGTCTCTCACCTTTGCTTTCCCGCCATCCCCCACCGCAACAGTAACTTGCTCCAGGCTCACTTTGCTCTAGTGTCTAGGAGATCCATCTGCCACCAGAACTATGATTCCCAGCATTCCTGGTGCTCCCCGTGCTCTGGGCTTCCACTTCAAGTCCTGGGGCTGCCACCAGAACTACTATTCCCAGAATTCCTGGTGCTCCCTGCACTCTTGGTTTTCCCTTCTTGCTCTGTCTCGGTCCCATGGCCTCCCACTCTGCCAAGTCCTCCAAGCCGCCAGCTCTCCCTCTCTGCTCTCCGTCTGGCAGCGTGGGGAGCCAAATTCCCCAAGCTGCTCCACTCTCTGCTGGCTCTCCTGCTCTACTCTCTGCCCGGCACCTGTGTATGCAAATTAACCCGCCATCTTTGGCAGGTTAATTTGCATACTCATTCCTGATTGGCTGGTGAGCGTAGCAGAGGGAAGGCCAATTTACATGTTTCTCTTTTATTTTATAGGATTGTAACATTGGTTTTGCTATATTACTTATGTTTGTTACATGTTTTACATTCCTCTGCTTAGCTGTCAAGCTGTTGGATGACCTGACTTACTCTCACTGAAGTCAATAAAAGTCAACTATGTGACCTGCCCTTGGCTGGGCATACAGGCCACATTGTCCTATCTTTATTTAAAACATAACTACAGAGACAAACACATAATAAGATGAATTTACAGAGACGAAAGCTATTATAGGGGAACGCAGACAGCACCAAATACATTCATATAAGGGAGAAAATCGTTCAGCCTGGGCAGTAGAAGGGACAGCAAAAGCTCCAGAGGGTGGGCATTCTGAATAGGATGCAGGAAAGCTAACAAATAGCAAGTGTGTCTAGAGCCCAGAGAAAGTGTGACCAGAGCTGAGGACTGGAAGAGACTAGGCTGCAAAAGCTATCCAAGCCCCCAAACCTGGCTGGCACCTATTCTCACCCCCACCCTCTAAGCAGGTGGGGGGTGGGCAGTAAGTATGATTAGAGACCTTCAAAGCGAAGTGCAGGCACTCCTGGGGAAGCTGGCAGCTTTTCAAGCTCTTATGGGCATAGAGAGCTCTATAGAAACCTATTTCCAGACTCACTATTTTATCAGTGATATGCCTGAAATATGCCTGAGGCAAGCACATTTCTAGCAAGTTCTCCTTTCCCTCTTCCCCTTTCATAATCACTCTCTTCCCATTTTATGAAAAGAGAGGCATCTCCCCCCACATCCAGAATCTCACCCTGCCTCTTGCCAAACGGAGGGGCAATCTGAAAAAGGGATGTTAGGAAAACCCTTTCCAATCAAAGCCTTGATCGCAACACCACCCATATCTACATCTATACACATATACACTTCCAATATAGTTTAGTTTTATGCCTAATAATTTCTTACCAAAGTTAATGAGTTGTTTTGGTTAACTGCATACTAATAATATTTAAAGTAACATAAATAATAGTTTTCAACAATAAAATTCTTAAATGACTACATTTCAATACTTATTTTTGTTGCTGCAGAGGATGGAGGAAGTCAAAGAAATTGGAAAGCTATATCATAAGATTTCTAACTGTAACATGTTTAATTAAAGAATAATTATTTGAAAATTTCAGAAGTCCGTGCTAACCATGTGCAAGGGGAGAAATGACACAAGAGGTTCTTGAATGTGTCACTGGTTTCTCTCCATGTCCCTGTGATAAGTAGAGCTTCCCCCCTCCCCCACCTTACAAGCATCATATATTCTTTTTCTAGGATCATTTTCAGTTTCAATTCCTTTATCTGAGTAAACACTTTCTGTCATTCTCCTGATCGTCCCTGCATCTTGTCAGCATTGGGGGAAGAAGTAATTGTGTATTATTTGAACATGATCAGCTAATAGGGACTCAGAGTTCTTGGTCCATTTTTTTGTGGTCTACATACAGTCCTCTGCTCTTCTGAAAACGACTGGCAAGACACCAATAGACTCAAAGTGGAAAAAAACACTGGAAAATATATGCATACAAATACCCGCCTCCTGATATAAAATATGTACAAGTGAGACCAAAGAGCCTCTTATTTTCTATTTCTGATTCCAGCACTAAATAACTTCTTTTTTTAAAAAAAAAAAAAAAAAAGGAAACCATTCCTTGACATAGAGCAAAGTAATAAATGTAATAGTTATAACACATTCCAGTACTAGCTACAACCCCAGGTGTTCTCTCAACTCTCCTATGGGATTTTCCCATCCAATCCATCAAATAGGTAGCAGCAAGCACTTAGGCAATGTTCAGTCTCAACAGTCTCATGCACTAATCTGTAATTACTAAGTAAATTAATCCAAGAGCTAATACTGAGCTGAAGAAAAAAGCTGCCTTTTTGCCAAGCATCATACCTTAAATCTTTCTGAAAGCAGACTTCCCAAACGGCTGACTCTACCGCCTCAGTTGTGATAGAATGGGAAAGTCTTCTGTCCTGATCTCCCCATGAATCCCAGGCTTCTGTTTGGATGGATGAATAGACAGGTAGATCAATAGATAGAAACATATAGATCAATCCACATTTGCCCACTACTTATCAAGCTCTGTCAGCAAAAACTGGTAAAAATTAGACAAATGTTTTCATTCAGGAACCATAAAGGAAATGTCTCCAAATAACCAAACACATATAGACACTCCTATGAATATTATCTGGTCATAAAGGCCATCCTTAAATATATCATCAATAATGTCAATCATGTAAGAACCATGTAAGCATGGCTTTAAACCCAACATTCTATTATAACCCTGCATCCAAATGCAATAGGGGTTGACTGTCACTGTCAAATTGTGGGAAGTATTTCTATGGAAATAATATCATCCTTCATAAATACCAGTGACCAAATCTGTCTGGGTTCAAATCCCAGCTCTACCACCTTTTAGCTGTAACTTGGGGGAAGTTATTAAATTATGCTATGCTTCCATTTCCTGAGCTACAAAATACAATCCTTACCACCACATAAGTTTATTATGACAATTTAAAAAAATACATCCATTCTTGGAACAACATCTGATACATAATAAGAACTCAAAAAATTACCTAGGATTAGTATTATTTCCCATAATTCAAGTTGTGGGCCCAAAGACAGTATTCTGTATTATCATTACCTAACCTTTAAAAGAATAGTTACAGAATGAGCAAAACTTAACAGTAAGGAGAAGAAAAAAGGAGAGTCTTCTAAATTTTAAAATGTTTTAAAAAGTGTTTTGGGTCCAAGACCCATTTAAAAAGCTGATTAGAATTATGGGCATTTCCCTTGGAAAAATCCACTTATACACAAATTTCAGGACTTCCTTCACAGTCTTCCTGAAGTTTACTCAGAGCCAGCAAACCTGAGGACCCCCTAGGGCTTAAAACCCGCCAGTTATCAAACTATTTCAATAAACTTTAAACTGCTATTTCTCCCATCCTCCAAAGAAGTTTATAAACATGCAATTCATTGACAAACATGTTTTGTGATACAGATGTTCACATTTACATCTGAATCTCATGGATTAAAACAAAAAGCATCACATTGTTTTTCTTAAGCCCACCGGGAATCTGTAGGAAAATTCCAAATTCCAGAACTACAGCTTCAAATCAGGTTCTGGAGTTCCCCCTCCATCCACATCAGCAGAGCAGTGAATGCAAATGTTAAAAAACTGTTTTGGGTCTGAGACCCATTTAAACAGCTGAGTAGAATCCTGCGAACACACGGCCTATTACAGCTTCTGGACCAGTGGCCAGCCCACCTCCTTTCTGCCCCTTTGTCCCAGAGCAGAGGGCTGCAGGGAAGGTCATTCTGACTACGACTAAAACTTTGAGAACACAAAGCAGAGGAAGAACTATAAGAATATGACATTAAAACACTACCGTAAAAAACTTCAGAACTTTCTGACACTTCTTAACTATAGCAAGGAAATTTTTAAATTTTTCATCACTTTTAAAATCTAGAGTGACTACTACTTTGTCATATATATATATATATATATATATATATATATATATATATAACATTCTTTCTTTAGTACTTCCTCCTTCTGTCTACCATACCCACTAACCCGGCTTTTTTTTTTTTTTTTTTGAAATATATTTTATTGATTTTTTTACAGAGAGGAAGGGAGAGGGATAGTTAGTTAGAAATATCAATGAGAGAGAAACATCGATCAGCTGCCTCTTGCACACTCCCTACTGGGTATGTGCCCACAACCAAGGTACATGCCCTTAATGGGAATCAAACCTGGGACCCTTGAGTCCACAGCCTGACGCTCTATCCACTGAGCCAAACCGGTTAGGGCCTGACCTGGCTTTTTAATGAAAGGGCGGGAGTTTGAAATTGCATCTGTATTGCCCAGTTCACCCAGCAGGGTGCTGTAACATCCAGACTGAATAAAGCCTCTGTGGGCACATGGACAAGATGAAGATGCCTATCAGCTACAAATTGACACCATCACCAGTGTCATGGCATGAGGAAGAAGCTGTATTATAGAATGGTACCCCTGAAGCCTATATAATTTTATTAACCAATGTCACCCCCAGTGCATTCAATAAAAAAGAAAGTAGCTTTAAAAAAAAAAAAAAAAAAACACACACACACACAGTGGAAAATAATAGCTAGTGACAACCACTTCACTCCTAGTTTCAAAACTTCTGACTCACTATTTAAGAATCTGTTATAAGCATCATTGAAGAGTAACCTTACCTTATACATGCACGGAAGTTAACAAACCCTTAAGTGCATGGGATTACATAGTTAAATTCAAATAAATTGTATACACTTGCAAAGGCAGTCTCAATAACACTTGAAAATAATAACTGGAATTTAATTTAAAACCACCTTGAACAAGGATTTGAATGAAATGCAAATCCCCTGCATTTCTTCCAAGTTTCTCATACTGCTTTTCTGAGAGACAGATGTCTTGTCCAGGGTTGGAACTGAAAATACAGGCCCAGGTCTGACTGCCAAAAGTGACCATTCCTGCAAATTCCTCTCCCTGGAAGGCAAGGTTCCCGATCAAAGAAAAGGAGGGGAATTTGATTTTGCCAGCAAAGGTACAGACAGTCCTGTGTGTTCGCGCGCGCGCAGGCCTGCAGGGGGTTTGGGAGGGATCAGGGAAGAAGCGGGAAGATGCAGTACCTTTCTTGAACTTTCTTAGCTCAATGGGGTGAGAAACTCAGCGCTTGGTGCAGCCAGACGCCGTCTTCTCTTTGAACCTGCGGCTTGGCGAGGGCGGTCAGGCGCACGTCACTGCTCTCCGCCAACCCACCCTGGCGTCTCACCTGCAGCTGGCGACACGCAAAGAGAGGAGCGCACTAGGGAACCCGCGCGACGGCCAAGTGACCAGCAATCTGCGCTCCTCTGGAAGCGGAGGATGGCGAGAAGAGGCCACCAGAGAAATAAAGGGCCAGAAGGTGAAAAATCTCTGCACGAAGTGCAAGTGGAAACTGAAGTCACAGTCTAGTGCTCCCTAGAAGAGGGCGGGGCAGCCTGTCGGGGAGCCGGGTGGGTCCAGCTGGAGGTGGGAGGGGTCCAAGGCGGAGATTGTTGGGGGAAATTCTAACGGCCTTTCAACCACCCACACCTCCCTTCCCAAAGCGGAGAGGCTGAACTCTGTACCTCCATCGAGTCCGGGCTGCTCGGTGAGGGGCTGCAGGTGGCGCAGCCAGAGGGCACGGCCACCCGACTGCCTTTCCTTTCGAGCTACGGCGCCGCCGGAGAGCGAGTGAACCGGGTGAGCGCTCTGAACTCCAGGAGTCCCAACCCCCCAGCGAAAACAAAAGTGAAAGAGAAACGGGTGGGGAGCAGAAGCGAAGATAAACACCCAGGGCGATGGGGGAAGGGTGAGATGGCAGTTCCTGGATAACTGCCCAAGACGTCGCGGCTGCCCTTTCCCTCGGGTTGGTGCGCCGGTCAGGTTTCTGGCACGACCGCGCGCAGGGGCGCAGAACCTGGAGGGGTCTTGGGAGGTGGTCGGAGAGCTCTGGTCTCCGGCTTCGGGCTTCGGCCGGTACCCCCTTGGGCACCTGCAGATAAAGCGCGAGGCGAGGGCCCGGAGCTCACCTACCGCGTCTGCGGAGCCAGGCAGGGCCCCACAGAAGCCTGGAAACCCGGGCGTGGTGCGCGCCCAAGCCGCCCCAGGAAAGGGGGAATGTGTGGATCGCAAGGAGCGGCTTCTGCAGACCAGCCACCTTGGCTCGCCGGCAGAGCAAGGTAGATGAAGGAAGGCTCTCAGGTCTTAAAGAGGAAATGTTGGGTAACTACTTTGTCCGAGGCAGTTGGCACGGAGACTGAACTTGAAGGGAATGAGTCTGTCTGCTGATGGAGTGCGAAGTCGAGGATAAACGTTGCACGTGGCCCCATTTCATGGGATCCTGTGCAATTTTATGATGGTGGTATTTCATTGTTGAGGCTAAGGGAGCTGCGGGCCAGGGTCCGGAGGAAAGGCCTGGCGCCCAGTTTTGGAAGCCCTTTGCAGGGAACCTTGCTCACTTGTGAGCCACCGAAAATCCCTCATGGAAGGTCCTCCACCAAAGTTTCCAGGGTTATGTCATAGAAAAAATGATAAGGCTCCCTGGAGCTTAGTAAAATATGTGTCTGACTCAGTGTATTCCATATCATCCTGCCTGTTAAAAATAAAATGGAAAAATATTAGAAGTGATTTAAATATGAGGTGGCGTAAAGTTCTACATAAAATCATTTCATATCTTTATGAAAAAAGTTGACCTCTAGATACTCACTATCAACAAAATAAGTGAAATGTCAAAATGTAAAAAAAGGGTTTTTTTACACTCATTCAAAATTTCACCATAGTTGGAAATGAAACAATCATTCTTTTCTGTCCAAGACAAGGTAATGTTCCATTTTCTCGTGATGATGCTAATGATTTCAAATCTGAAGAGACTTTTTCATAGCAAAATGCTGAAGTTCCGATTTGGATTGGCAGCATGAGCACGCTCTGTGAAAGCCTGCATCTGGTTTGGAGTCCGTTGCAAAAGATATGGCAGCCTCCAAAGGACTAAAGTGTGTGTCTATGTGAACATAGAGATGAGGGATGGAGAGATGGATCTGTGTCCCGAGCCTCAACTTGGAAGCCAGCAGAGCTCCATGAGCTCCCTGCAAAGTGAATTCGTGCTGTACCCCTTGTGATCAATGCTGTTGAGTGCTCTGCAGCGGGTGGCAGGAGTAGATGTGCAGACAGTAAGGCCCCTCACTGGCTATCCAACCCTCAGTACCAAGTAGCAGAGCCAGAGAGGGCTGCTGCCAGAGGAGGTTTTTTCACATCCTAACTCCGGCTGCGTTTGGGCTGCCTGGGAGAACTGGACTCTGCTCTTCGCTGCGCTCACTGGCTCAGGGGCTCCAGAACCTTGTCAGCTGTCTCCAGTGCTGAGGGGAATCAGTGGCTGACAGTGCACTCTGCGCATAGGGCCATCTTGAATGTTCTAAGCTACTGAAAATTTTGGACAACACTGAAACTGATGGGAATTTTCTTCCTAGAGCTGAGCTTTAAAGCACCAGCTGAGTACATAGATTAATAAGATTGGTCTCAAATATTGATCGAGCTTACAAAACAGGCGGATGAAATAGAATACATGTAGTCAGATTGGGGAGATAAAATAGCATAAATAACAATAAAGTGAAATGGAAAATGATTATAGCCATAAAACATGCTTTGCTCTACCACTTGCCTGCCAACTATATAGGTCAATATTGTTTTCTTAATTACAGAAAGAGAAGTATTTTTGGATTAGTTATATAAGTGCCTGCAACTCTATAAAGTTGGGTTTTCAGCATAAATTGTTTTTGCTGCATTGAGCACAGACAGAAAAGTCTAATATATGCCACTTGCTTTTCAGTTGCCACAGGCTGTTTGGCAAGATATTGAAAATTACTCACACCAATGAGCAAGTATATTCCACTGTATAAGTTAAAAGCAAAGACCAAGATTGATGAAATAATTTGAAACTGCCTGAAGATAAATAACTAGTACAATTATAATGTGGGAAGCAGCGAAAATTAACTAACTCACAGAATTGACTTAATATTTCTTTGAATTTAAAGAATTAAAAATAAAATGATAGTTTAACAAATTTTAGTGTCTGTTTTTTCATTCCAAAGACAATGTTTGACAATTTGGCAGCTGTCTATACAATAAGTTACTAGTAAATATTTTCTATAGATTCCGAGACTATGTGGAAGAAGTTGACAGTCAGCTCCTCTGGTTTGGTGTTCAAAGTCCATAACTATGACCTTATTTATGATTCTTCTAAGAATAAGTCACAGGCCAGGAACAAGTTGGTCTCTGGTCTTCGAAAAACATGACCCAGGGTACCCCCAGTTTCATTTTGGTTAAAGCATACCTGAAATGCAGCCTTACCTCAAGGTTGCTCCCACCTCTGATTTTTCGGTGGTCCTGACAATAGAGGAATACTCCTCCTCTTAAAGATAACTTAAGTTTTCAAGAGCTTCTTAAGCTACCGCTTTTTCGGAGCTGTAGCAGTACCAGTTAATACATCTGTAGTCTCTATGGTGTGTCCCCAGGTACTTGCTAAGCACAAATACTAATTCATTAAACCCTCATGGCAATGCTGTGAGATATGAACTATTATTATGTCCATCTTACAGATGGAGAAACCAAGACCCAGAGAAATTACATGACTTGCCTAAGGTCACATGCAATTGAGTGGCCCAGCAAAAATTTGAACTCAGGTCTGGCTTGAGTATGCATCCCCTCTGCAGCCTCTAAATGGACACCTACCCACCATGGCTTCCTGCACAAAAAGTTCCTGAGAGTAGTTTTAGCCACCACCAGGGAGGAAACTCATCAGTTCCCTTGAGTTTATGCTTCCTGATCTCATTGTGTTTCTGTAAGGAAGCTGGTCTGACTGTTACAGGGCCACTACAAATAGGCTATTTTAGTAAAGTGACTAACAAAGGCTAGCAGAGTTAGAAACAGCAGAGCTAGCAGCCTTCACACTCTGGCTGGGTCCTAGTAGAGATGGTTGATTTTGTTTGAACTGAAGAGTAAAAGTGTACCCATGGAAGGGGGGAAAGGACACCTAGTTTCAAGATCGAGAGCAATTAAAAATAGTTATATAATAACATACTTAATTTTAATATATTTAAAAGTAAATGGAATCTTTAATGTTTTGGTACTTAGTAATGGAGAGAAGGGGTTTAAATAAAATGAAGAGATGATGTGCTAATACTATTCTGAACAGTCTTTTAAGGCTGACCTTATCAATCGAAATCTAGTTCAAATCCCCTTTCTTAAATATATAACATGAAAATGTATATATTTATATCAATATCTATCTAATCTATATAAATACAAAAAGATCACATGAGAGTGAATTATTAAGCCACTCCTGAGGCCTTCTACTTATGCCCTATGTCCTATATTTAAACAAGAATTGTGTTTAATAGTTTTCTAAAAGTGTATTCTGACAATTTTCCAAATTAAACAAAAAGCTTTCAAATTAACCATGTGTCAAAGAAGAAATCACAGAGGAGATTATGAAATACTTTTAACTGAGTGATAATGAAAACAAAGATATCGATATTTAAGGGATGCAACTAACATAGGTCTTAGGGAAGAATGTATAGTTGTCAATACTTATATTACAAATAAAAAAGGTTAAAATTAATAGAATAAGCTTCCAATCTTAAGAAAGTAGGAAAAAAAGAAGATAATATACACAAAGAGAAAGAAGGAAACAACAGATAAAAGCTAAAATGGAATAGAAAATCAATGAAAAAAAGTTATTTGAAAAGATCAGTAAAATTGATAAATCTCTAGCCAAATTGATCAAGAAAAAAGAGGGAAAATGCACAATTATCAATATCAACATTGAAAAAGAAGACATAACTATACACAATAGACAAAAAAAATAAAGTAAAAAACAACTTTGTGGCAATAAATTTGATACCTTAAAGAGACAAGTACCTTGAAAGCCACAAGCTGATAACACACACATACACACACACACACACACACACACACGCACGCACATGCACACACACACAAAATGTTTAAATTAATCTACATCCATTATAGCAATGTAATTCATAATTAAAATCCTTCCCACAAATAGAACTCTAGACCTGAATGGATTCATTGAAAAATCCCACTAAAGAATTAAGGGAAAAATAATGCCAATCTTATACAAACTCTAAGAAAATATAGGGGGAAGAAATACTTATCAACTTATTTTATGAGGCCATTAATTACTCTGTCAAAACCAGCAAAAATATTATATGAAAAGAAATCTACAGCAGAATATTTTTGAATATGGCACAAAATTTCTTAACAAAATATTAAAACTCTAACCTAATGTATAAAAAGGATAATACATTAGAAACAAGTGGGGGTTATTCATGTAATGAATGCAAAGCTGACTTAACATTTCAAAGCCAATCAATGAAAAGCTCAGTAGTAATTGAATAAAGAAGAAAAAAGCATTTGACAAAATTCAACATTCAGCCATGATGAAACCTCTCAGGACACTAGAAAATGGAGGAAAACTCTCTACCTGATAAAGGGTAACTACAAAAAAGTATAAAGCTAACATTTTACTTGATAGTGAAATAGGAATGCTTTACCCCTAAAATCAACTACAACCAAAGATGTCTGCTTTTATCACTCCTGTTCAACTAGTACTAGAGAACCTAGACAGTGCAATAAGATTAAAAAAAAAAAAAAAGTCATAAAGAATGGAAAGAAATAGGTAAAGTGTCTTTATTTCCAGAGAATAGGTTCCTG